TGTCACAGCTGCAGGACCGGCCGTGGTTGCAGGACCGGCCACGCTGCTCGTCGCGGGTGCAGGACCGTTAGGGTTGGGCTGAGCTATGCAGGGGCGCTCGGGAGAGTCCAGACTATTTCCCAACCAAGCCTGGCAGCGATGGTGAACGCAGGGAGGAGGGCAGGGCTTTCCCTCGCCTCGTGCCAGGGACGGGCATCGCGTTGCTGCTCCGTGCGCCCCGGGGTGCAGCGGGACTCCAGGAACGTTCTGCAATGGGATGCAAAGCCAGGGACTGCTCCGTGGGCTGGAGTGCCCAGCCAGGGAGGAACTGCTCCCACCAGTGTGTCTGGACATGAGTGGTCTCCCACCTCGGAGCGCACCCATTCCTGATCCTGCCATGTCCCCGTGGGGCATCTCCCCGCAGTGCTGGCACAGGACACGGTTGAGGAGCCGGCGTGTCCCGCTCGGGAGGGATTGCCTGCCCAGCAGCATGCATCGGGCAGCTGCAGCAGCCAGTTTTCTGCTCGGAACGTGCTGTGCCCAGGAAGGCCCCTGTGCTCTGGAACCTCCTGTCTGTCTCCTGGGTACCTGCACTGCTGCTCAGCACCGTGTCCCTCCTTGTCCCCTGCTGCTTGCTCAGGTGCGGTGACGCGCTCCGTGCGGCCAATGGTCACACCGCGGCATCGCTCCCAGCCCTGCGCCCAGCTGTGCCGCCCCATGGAAACTCCCACGGGTGGCCCTGGCAGCGCACGGAGCGCGCGCGGCTGCTGCACGGGCAGCAGGAAACGCTCGGGTGTCCCGAGCAGCAGACGGGAGCCGCTGCTGAGCCCGGCTCGGAGGTGCTGCAGGCCCGGTCCCGCGGCGTCTCGGATCCGCCAGCTCCCATTTCCAGAGTTCCTGCAGCCGGGTGCTTGCCTAAGCCCCCAGTTTGGGGCAGGAAGAGTGTTATCGGATGAGCTGGCGGGTTGTTGGACTGCTCAAAAAAAAGTCTAAAACCCTTCGTTGGAGTCACTGCAAAATAATTGCTGGGATGTTTGGGCTGCCCAAGGCTGGGAGTCAATGAGCTCCGTTTGGGATCAGTGGAAACAGATGAGGGTTTTTGCATGTGAGAGAGGAACATAAATCTGAAAGATGAAACAGCATTCAGCAGCCAGGAGGGACTTTGCAAAGTGAATTATTTAGGGAAGAATTACGGGCTGTTTCTGACTACGAGATCTCTTGGTGTGAGGAGCCGCTCGGCTCTTCCCAGCAGCCGAGTTGGGGTCCTGGCCTCGACCCCCTGCCCCGCTGCTGCGGGAAGGAGCCTCACAAAGTCACAACCTGTTCCATGCCGGGGCGCTCCCGGCTGGGAGCAATCCTGGTGCAAGGGGACGGATGCAGGAGGGATTTGGCCTTTGCACCAGGAGCTCTGGGAACCGACCTATGTCCACAAATTGTGATTTACGCTGAAAAATTCACATTTCCCATGAATTTGGACCAATGCTACTCCCAGAGCGCGTGTTTTCCTGCCAGTTTCCGAGGTTGGGGCGCGATGCCGGCGCCCGCCTTGCTCGGAGGGTCCCTCGCGGCGCGGGCGGGCGGCACGGGAGCCTCCGGCGCGCGGGATCCTGCCGAGCTCCTCCCGCCACCGCGATGGCAACGGCCCCGGGGGTGTCACATGTAACCGGGTTTGGGGCAGCAGTGTGAGGCTGATTCCTTCATTAACTTCAATTAAGTAATTAATTAATAGGAATACAACATTTCCAAGTGGGGAATCCTCCTCCCTGCCCTTCCGCAGGGACGGCATTCCCGCATCCGGGGGG